GAGATTGAAGATGTTTGCATCTGATTGCAGCGGAAATCAGTTGCATACAGCCAATAGGGAGAATAACCCAGGCGGATTAGCCGTTTTTTCCTCATGCTATTGTTTGGAAAATGAGGTTATCTGATACGGAGACGTAACTGAAGGCCCTCGTAGGCAGTGCAGGTATTGATTTAATCAACATATTCAAATTGCCTCACCCATCCATAAATCAACTGGTTTATCTCACCGGTTTTATGTGCTTGATACGAGTGTGCGACAGGATGTTCAACGTGAATGCATGCACCGGACAACCTGATGTGTGCTGAGCTTCGGTGTGGGCTGCAACCGTCTTCATACAGGAGGTTCTCCGTGGAGACGGTTGACTGACAAGACGGGAAAATACAAACACCAGTACCCAGAAGGCCAAGTGAGACATGAACACCAGTTACATTGCAGCGGAATGGCAAGTTGCCAAGGTCGTTACACTGGTGGCTAACTAGTAATTCAGCAGGTAAAGAAAGCTACGTTTTCAAAGAATTCCCATTAACCCGCCAAAAGATGTGAATATCCATTCCATTTTATGAGTTGGAAGGAAAGTAAACACTGCGAGCCTAGTTGTTAGTCTCCTGCTCACACCAATCTGGGTATCACACAATGTCTTGCACTGATTGTGAAGGTTTTTGAGACTGTAACTTTCAAAATGTATTCGCAGAAGTCATATTTTTCACAGACGAAGATTAGTAATTCGTCTCACTTGAGGTTGATAGAAAACAACGGTTAGACCACAATGAATATTATTTGTCAACAATTTGGCAGTTTCTGGATGCACCAGCAACTATCGTCAAAATCGAGTGGTATATTTGAATGGAATGCGGCTAATAGGCGCACATCCATAAGGGGAAATTTCAGCAGATATGTTGCGTCCTATCCGGTGCAATATCACATTCAATCCCGTGAATGAGGCGGGGAGAAAGAAATGTGATGAAAGTCAGGTTTTTTGAACGATTTTATACACATACAATTTATATACATGTGCGAATTAAAAATCATCCAAGATTGATAATCCAAGTGCTACAATGTTCGTACATGGGTGTGAAATGCACGCAAGTGTGTGAAACTCTCCTCGATCATAATCGGATATTCCCGTACTTATAATCATTATTACCATTTCCGATTATCATTCACATACAATCTCAAAAAGTGTTACTATTGCCAATAACGATATATTTAGCTGAGAGCCAGTGCCAGGTTATTTTGTTCAAGGAAAGCCGATTACATTATACCGTGCGTTAAGTGTTCGCGGCCCAACGAGGTCTTTTGGTGAATTAAAAGCGTGGTTATTTGGTGCGATGCGACTATTGCAATTCATCCCGAGTAAGTACTACGTTTGGAATCGCTCAGACTAAGGATTGAGTATGGGCCTATGCAAATAGTTCTTTGTATTTGCTTACTGTGTGCCCACGTGCAACTAAGTATATTTTGAAGAAAATATATTTTTCAGAATATCACATTTGAATCAGTTCATTCGATCGTTCACAGACATCAGGTACTATGTAGCTCAGGAGTTTCATCACCGAACCGGTGGGATTATTGTCTGAATTCTTATGGAACACAAACGCGTGCATCGATGACGGGTGCCAATCTGGACGCGAAAGCTCTCCAGTGCACTATGGACCAAATGGCCCAGTTGTTAGGTCACCAAATTGCACTGCCTCCCGTCTTCCCCATTTTTGTTTCCCCAAGGGAAGTCGTTGTATGGCAAAAGGTTGGCTGTACATTTGTGTATTCACTAAATAAAAAAGAAAGTAAGAAAACAAAAAAGGTGAACACAAATATTTCCGTCGTATATCAAAGATGAACATTTTTATTGAAATCAATTTTAATGGATCGATCTGCATAGAATATCCCCAGATGTGTTTATGCTGCGTTCTTCTGTTGAATTTAATTAATAATAGAACTCCCCGTATAAAGTCTCAAAGTCAACGTAGCTAGAAAAAGATAGCACATGCTGATGAGGGTCCCGAAAATGTCTTCCGTCGGGAAGAGAACAGCAGATGTTTAATGTCCCGCTTATTTATATAATTGCTTTGTAACCGTGTAAGTGCACAATGATTTACTTCCTTTCCGAATAAACTGTTGGTGTTTGAGTGTTACGCAAATCAGATTAAACATTCAGTTCCATTTAAAAATATTGAGTTTCAGACAAATAATGTACCAGTAAGTTAGTACAAACCAAGAAAAAAAAATGGGCAGAAAACGAACGGAGATAGCTAGAATAGAGACTACAAAATACGATGGTTACGACAGCACGTTGGCGATCAAAATGAGAACAAATTTCACTACACATGTTTACCCAGTGATATGGGACATTAAAGAATACAGGAGAACTCATGGGATAGAAGAGTACGTGTGAGTAAGCTGCAGTGGATCAATAATGGAATTGTTCAACGTTGAAACAACAGATAATACACGAAACATAGACTTCCCGCAAGACAGACCACACATCTCCCCACAGTCTTCACACAGTAAACGCATTTTAGATAAGCGCTTCCCAAAACAGGAAAACACTCAGCTGTTGAGTTTAAGTATCCTGTAAGGAGTCGCTTATGGTTAGGGTGCCGCTAACAGCAAAAGCAGGTAAATATAAGTGTACAGAACCAACGTGAATCGGTCCGAAACAAATGCCAACCTTGACGCCGATACATCATGACTTTCACAATTTCGGTTTAACGATCCGGTCTACTGAATGCTTTGTATTG